GAACCTGGTCCTGGCTCACCATGAGGTGCGGTGCTGACCCCGGCCGACCTGACCCTTGAATGTCACCCAGCTGCCCTGTTGCCCTGCTCTGGTTGGCCCGCTGGCCCATGCTCTTCCTCCTCCCTCCTTCCTCCTCTCCTCCACGCATTGCCTTCTTTTCTACATCTAACGAGTCAACATTTCTTTTTCCTCGCGGGCTGGCGCAGGGATATTTATCAACCACCAACATCCGGGGCCGGCGGAAGTGGGAGAAGAGCGGCAGCAGCGAGAGGAGTGAGGAGCAAACAGCCCAACCCAGCCTGCCATTTTGATTGCCTCCACTGATACCAGGATACCGGTGTGCCGGGGTGGCCATGCGTCTCGCCCAAAGTTCCAGCTTTCTGCCACCAACACACCTCGTCAATCCATCCAGAAGCAATTCGGTGAGCCAGCCGTTGGTGAGCCTTGGCCTTGTCTCGCATCGAGCTTCCAAGAAGGTGTCGACGCGCATCATCACCACCGTACCCCTCAGCTTTCTTCATCCCCAATCTCGCATATCTCAAAGAAGAAAGCCTCAACTGGCCGTTCATGTGAAGGAGGAGGTGGACAGGATGGGCCATGGACGGGCACCCTTGTCTCGCATGTCATCGACGTCCAGTCCAACACCACCAACACCAACAGCGACAGCAACCATCTGCTACGCAATACACGACGGATAGGGACCATTGGAACCAAGTCTACCAACAACAACGCCTGCCGATAGCACCAACGAACCTGGCACCAACACCAACACACCTCCAACAACAACCCCCGCCCGCCACAATGTCTTACCCTGTCTAGCCTGCCGCCTCCTTCTCCTCCTCGTCCAGACCCATGCATTCGCTCCATGCTTCATTCCACAACGCCCACGCCCGGATACCGCCCAGATAGCGCCATCCCGCCGTCACCGACACCGCCTATTTCCCGATCCTAGGGTTCCCGGCGGGCGGCCAGTGTCAGTGTCAGTGTCGACAAGTTGGAACAAGCAGCAAACAACGTCCGTCGTCGATTCCTCGACTCGCAGCACTGCAAATACGTGATGCCTTATCCGTGCTGCGGATCCGACAAAGTACCACACATGTTGACCACAATGCCATGCTACCAACAGCTGTGGGACCAACGGACCGCGGCCAAATGTGACGAGCTCCAACTTCGCAGTGTTCCAAGGCTACCTCTGCCCCACGACAAGGCCGCCGTGCCTGCCCGCTCCCCCCATCTTCCATCGTATGGCCCATGTTCTGGACCACATCTGCCCTGTCGCCAGCCGCATGCTTGCTTCTTCTTGTCACACCCCCGTTCCCTCTTTTGTCAATCGCTGCTTACACCTGCCAGGTAGCATCAAGTCAGGTACCTGACCTATGTTGGGACACCAGCGCGCGCGCGCCCGCTCTGCCTCTCTCTCTCTGTCCGCCGTCGCCATCGCCATCCATCTGCCTGCTACCTGACTTGACTGCTGCCCTGCCTGCTTACCGGACAGCAGCCATCTGGTCATTGGCCCCGAGCCTGATCTGTCCCAGACACGCAGCAGCAGCAGAGCATTAACCCGCTCTTCACTGGTCGTCATGCCTGTCCCCCTCATCTTGGCCTGGCCAAACGGGTCATTACGGGCATTACGGGCGTAGTGGGAGGCAAGGGACTTTCGCCCACGACTCACCTCAGAGACTCCTCGCACACCAGACACTCCTCCCCAAGTCGTTCCCTCGCAGCTCCAACTCCGCCCTCATGCTGCCCCCTCGCGTCCGGCTCGACCACGCGCCGTTCAATCTCTCGCTGCCGTTGCCGCTGTCTTCGCCCCCATCCATTCCACCCGGTGGGCAAGACGTCGAGCTTTTGGGTGTTCGCCGCTCTCCCCTCCCCCCGCGCGCGCGCTCTGGTCACGGTTGACCTCTCGCCATCATTACCTGATTATCTCTTTCCTCTTTTCCCGTAACGCTTGACTTGGCCCGCTCTCCACCCGCCTCCCCATCAACCGCCGTCCATCTCCCCCTGCTCGCAATCCTACAACTCTTTTGCTGAATTGTGACCTGGACCTTGGGCTGAGTCCTTTTTCCAAACCGGCGTTCTCCTCCGCTCTCGTCAATTTGCTGTTCCTCTCGCTGTTGGTGCGCCCAAACCTGAATCGCATCCCGTCGTTTGCTTTCCCATCTCGACCCGACCCACTTGGCGTTCCTCGACTGTTTCTTGATCCGTCGTTCCAACGGTCTTGACACCCACGCAGGCCACAGTCTGAGCTTGCTTCCTCGCACTTGACCGTTGTGGGAGGAGCTTTGATAACCTCGGCGGTCGCCACCTTGACCTGTTCGCCGGGAACTCGCATGCTGTCTTGTTTCCCCAGGACTCTCATACACCATGGCGGCCCTCGACATCCGCTCGCTGCTCCAGACAGACCAGCCGCTGGACCCCGAGACTGAAGCATTTCGACAATACAAGAGAGCCTGCCAGCTGCACCCGGGGGATATCCCACACAGAAACGAAGATGAGACCGTCCTGGCATACTACGGCAAGGCCTCGGTGCACGCCTTCGCCCGCGTGGCAGAGTTTATCGCGCTGCTCACGGACGAGCAGAACCTGCAGTCGACGGGCTACAACCTGGTGGATCAGGCGCTGTGCGAAAGAAAGCAGGGAATGGGCATCCTCGAGGTAGCAACGAAGCAGCGCAAGACACTCAGGTGGGTTGGAGGATCCGTTTGGATGGGTTTCCCAACACTGACACTTTTGGCAGGCAAATCAGCGAAACCGTGCTCAAGGCCCAGCGGGAGATACGAGACATTCTGGTGCAAGCCGAGGAACACGCTCACACCGAGCCCACGCGGCAGCCCGTGGCCCCAGAATCCTGCTCCAGGTCGTCCGTCTCCATCTCCACAGGCGTCTCGGGGTTCTCGACGGGGCCGTTTTCCGCGGCCGCATCGCAGTCGTCCGTCGGGACGTCTCTCGCCCGCGGGGACACGACACGCAGCGAACACGCCCGAAGCGACAGGCGGTCGCTCACCCCCGGCTCACCAGGGTACGATGACGACTACGACGGCGACGACTACGAGATGTCGGGCATGCACGACGGGCTCTCGATGGACGACGAGGTTGCGCGCGCAGACAAGATCGACATGGAGCAGCTGAAGCACAGGGGCAAGGGCCACTACATCTGCCCGGAATGGCGTTCGTGCCAGAAAGGGGGCAAGAAGGAGGACGGAGGCCCGCGGTATTTCACACGCAACTGCATGTTCAGGTATGGCGGAGTCCGTCACAACTCGAAGTATCATCGCTGACTGGCCCGCAGACAACACCTGCAAAAGCACTCCAAACCTCACAGGTGCAATCTGCCAGGGTGTCCGAACAAAGAGGGGTTCGCGAGGAAGGACCAGCTCGTCAGGCATCAGCTAAACGTCAAGCACGAAGACCCCAACGAGAGCCAGCCCCCGGTGACAACGACGACCTATTATCCCACGTCACGGAGGTAGCATTGCAGTAGTAGCAGCAGCGGAGGTTTACGGGATGGTCTGGGGATGGTTACATGAAAAAAAAAGTGAGGTGAGGGGGGCAGCAGCAGCGAGACAACGTCCCGAAGGGTTCGCACTTTCTCTTGTTTCCTCTGATTTGTGATAGCGCGCGTATATGGACTTTTGATGGCACAACGGGTAAACGATCTACGGAGTCTTGGCAAACTGGGTGTACTACTATCATGCGGCTGGATCACGAACGGTCTTTTAAAGTTATGGGCTGCATGGTCGGCCGTCTTTGAATGGGATGGCAGGAATAGCGAAAGGGCGCGGCGGGCGGATCAGGTCATGGCGATGACCATGTTTGGTTGGTTGGATGTTGGGCATCCAACCCGTTGTCATATGCGCTATTATGCGCGACGAAAGTATCAGACCAGTATGCTGGTTCCAACACGAATTCTCATCAGCACTTCATGGGTCAAACCCCGAGTGAAATGCCCCGAGTGAATGCCAACATTGACCGAGATCCAGTCAGCCCAATCGGTGGCCGTGGGCTCATCACTGTGCCTCTCATGAGCCTGCAACGTCGAGGTCTATGCGATGGCAGTGAAACATGGGCCAACCCATGCAGACGCCATCGCCGGTGGACAGATTCTTGTCTTGTCTGATTCTTGTTCTTGTTGGTGTTGGAGCAGATGAGCCGCCTGGGCTGACTCGTCTGCGAGAGTCATCACCAAGGTTCCTGCCAGGCCTGGATTCCAAGATGGACTGATAATTAGGCTGCTAAAAACGAGGCTGCTCTTCGGCTGTCATGCAAGGAGACCGATCTTCACCTACCGACATGGCAGCAGGAGGGCGTGCTCCGGGTTTGCGGCAAGGGCACAGGGGAGCAGAGCACGGGAAGCAGGCCGAACGGGCTCTTCTCCTGTCCTCTGCGGCGCAGCCTCCTCACCGTTTGTTTCCCGCAAGGCGGGGCATCCCCCGGGGCTGGTTGGTCGAGTGGGAGAGGGTTGCCTGCCCCGGGAATGTCTGTCACCGTTTCGTGCAGTCTTACACGGCATGCTGCGCAGAGCGTAAGGTAGGCGTGGCGATGTGTAACGCACCGCCGCGTGGGAAGGAAGATCTGATCCCGAATTGGCTGACGCGAGGCGCATCTGCCGCCTGGAAGGGTGTCTGCTGCATTCGCTTTTGTTATAAGCGATTGGTCGCGTACCGCCGTCGTGAGATTTTTCTCTTCGGCCTCGCCTGCGGGCATACACGAAGCCAGACGGATAGCCATGGCGTAATATACGGCAGGAGGTTGGAAAAGGGCAAACGTACGTCTTCTCTGGCGCCAACGCTAACGCGGCGACGAGGTGCTGGAGGGTGGCATAAAATGCCAGTCGTGGGCTTGGCCCATCGCCTGGGCCTTGCGGATGGCTGAGGTGGTACTACGTAGCTAAGCCGGTCTGGTCAGAGATGGGAAATAACGGGAAATGTGATGGGCTTCGAATTTCCCATGTGCCATGTCATAATCGACGGAGTCGGACATGAAGCCCGACTGAACCCCTACTTGGCTGAGCACATCTCCTGCTTCGCTCGAGTTACACCTGGAAGCAGGACGTGAGATTCAGCAGCGATGTTCTCGATCTGGATATATCGAGGCATGGCGGATTGCAGATTCTGTCGATGGCGCATCATGGACCTGATTCTGGCCGCGAGATCAGAATGTGAAGATGGACAACCGAAAAAGAAACGACGGCCAGGAGACTGACACACACGTGTGGACATGATCCGGATAAGGAGCACAATACTGGGGCGGGCGGGAATCGCTGAAGGTTGCCCATCGAGGCAAGTTTCGCTGATATCGGCACCCCAGGCGGAGTCGACACCCGGCGATGTGATGTCGGGTGAGGGAAGGGGAAAGCTGGCTAGCGTGTCAGTGAACAGGGTCCTGGGAGAAGGGATACCAAAGTTCCTTACGCTTTTTGCTCAGTGGGCTGGGCTGGGCCGCGTTGGGGGCGTCTAGAGAGAGAATCTTGGAAGAAAGAGAAAGCAGAAAAGAGGACGGCCATTTTGGTATGATTCTGCCTTAGCGATATGGGGACGTTTACCGGGTTCGTTTTAGCGACGAGACACCATGCACTAGATCGAAGGGGAGGTGCGGTGCGGATGGACGTGAAATGCGGTGCCCTGGCTGTTCTCAGAGGAAAGAACGCTATTGACATGAAAAAGGCGGGGCGCCAATGGGAGCACACCGTTCGGGCGCCCCAATCAGCGTGCCCGGAGCTCCCTCCTTGTCGAGTTGCGTTGGACCAGAGGAGGGGCGATGGGCATGGTGAACGGCGGCCGTGGTTGAGATCGTGCCTTCCAACCACACCCACACAGTGACAACCCCCCTTGCTTGCCATACCATTCAGCTTACACACCCACTCTGGCAACCGTCATGTCACAACTCTTTTTCCACGAGCCCAACGTACCTTTTCAGGCACACAGAATGGACCTGTTGATTTGCAGATCTGTCTCCCGGAAGGTCTTCATCTCGAGCCGCGGGGGGCCTGGCTGACGACCTCTGGCCAGACGTAGAGAGACACCGGATCATATACCGGGTATCTGCCTCACTTGCCTCTTTCTCAAGACCGAAACAATGACGGGGCGAGTGCCATGGCTTGGGGCCCATACGTGATGATGCGTGCTAGTTTATTCCCGCCCGTTCGTGTCGCAGCCGCGTTAGTTTCTTTCTGCGCCGCGGCCGCTGGGATATGGATTGTTCAAGGATGCCAAAGTCAGATCATTCCATCCAGCTGACGACATGGAATTCTGTCCCTGCCCGGGATGGGAGATGCCGGTCTGCTGGTCTTGGATGGGGGTTTCCTGCACTGCCGCCGGGTGGGCGTCTCGAGGGGGAAGTTTGAAGCACCTTTCTCGAGGAACGGGGTGAGGTTGCGGTCGATGGCCGACGGGTACAACACCGGTGCGTATCGAGCTCTTTCTCCTCTGCCTGTCTTTTCCGTCTTGATGTTCCATGAGGAGAGCGGTGCTGACGTTTCTTGTATAAAAGGCTCGTGGCTTGCCCCTGAGATGGGAAAGTTTTGTCGATATCCAAGCAGCTCTTCACTTACACAAGACACACTAATCATACATCGTTATAAATCATGGCTGTCAAGACGAGAGAGCGCATCATCGTTGTCGGTGCCGGCGTCTTTGGCGCCTCCACGGCCCTCGCTTTCCAGTACAGCAACACGTACAAGGACTACGACATTGTCGTGGTTGACCGTGATCCCCACGCGGACCCTGCCTCAGCGTCTCATGACCTCTCCAAGATTGTCAGGAGTGACTACGCCATCCCGGTTCACATCGAGATGGCGCGGGCTGCCATGGACATGTGGCTCGAGGACCCCTTTTTCAAGGAGTTCTTCCACCGTGTGGGCATGTACCGGTGCCAGCCGGACGACTTCAACCAGCAGAGCCTGCAGGCGTACAAGCAGCTCGGATATCCCACCAAGTCTCGGTGGATGACGGTCGACGAGGTGCGCAAGCAGACGCCCGTCTTTGCCAACGCCGACTTTGGGACCTCGGACAAGGTGATGTACAACCCTGACTTTGGCTACGTCGATGCCGCGCTTGCCTTGGAGGCGACCCGTCGGGAAGCCTTCAGCCACCCGAGAGTCGATCTTGTCGTGGGTGACGTGCAGAACCTCACTTTTGACGAGTCCGGCCACTGCGCGGGCGTCAACGTCTTGCTGCAGGACGGCACCACTCAGGAGCTCAGGGGCAAGGTGGTGTTGTGCACCGGCGCACGAACTGCCACCTTGCTCGAGAAGAGCGCCCCCGAGAGAAAGGAGCTCCACGCAGGCGAGAGACTCAAGGCCACCGGCGCCATCAGCTTCACCGTACGCATCGACGGGGAGCTCAAGGAGCGTTTCGACGCCGGCCCCGTCCCCGTCTGGAAGAACCGAGTGAACGAAGTGATGGGTAAGTACGTTCATCATAAGAGAGGGCCGTGCTGACGTATCAGGCGAGCTGGTGTCGTACAAGGACGGCCTGCTCAAGTTCAACCGCGACGGGTGCTGGACGCTTGAGAAGGACAGGGAAATCCTCGTCCCAACCGACGCGAACCTGACCCGGTGGGTCGACGACATTGACCAGAACGACATCAAGAAGCTCTGTCGTGAGACCCTGGTTGGCCTGTGCGGCAAGGAGCTCGAGAGCTGTGAGATTGAAGAGTACCGTTTCTGCTGGTAAGTCGTGTCTGAGACAGTCGTGAACGTCTACTGATGCCGCCAGGGACTCATACACCCCCAACCACGACTTCTTCATCGGTGAGCACCCCCGCTGCGACAACCTCTACCTCGCCACGGGCGGCTCGTTCCACGGCTGGAAGTTCCTGCCCGTCATTGGCAAAAAGGTGGTTGCCATGCTGGAGGGCAAGCTCTCGGAGCAGGAAAAGCAGATGTGGGCGTGGGACCGCACGAACCCCGACGCCGCCAACACCACATACCACGTCAACGGCGCGCTGGAGGAGATGCAGTAGGCGCGGCAGGCGTGACGCAGTAGGCGGGGAGCGAAGGCGGTCATTTAAGCAATACGGGTGCATGGCTGGCGTTACTAGACGGACACCTACTGGGCTGGTCATCATCATTTTGCGGGTACGGAGCACATGTGGGATCATGTCGCACATTTGGATTATGCCGAATACACATCTTACACGGTTGAACGACGCTCGCCGGTAACAGAGTGGTGTCTTTTGTGTGCCTCTCAGTGATGCTATACCAACCAGTACCCAATGCGCCGAAACGAGCGCAAACAGTGTATGTGACGAATTCCCAAGCGCCTTTTGCCAACCCGACATGGGTATATGTGGCCGGTCATGGACTCGGCTTTCTGCTGTTCTTCCTCTTGTCGTCTCCCCCGTCCTTACCCCCCTACGACGAGCCATTGACGTCCAGCTTGCCCTGCGTCTTCTCCAGGTACGTCACCAGATCCGCAATCGTGCACACCTTGAGCCCGAACCGTCTCGCAAAGTCGATGCACTGCTCGCCCCTCATCATGCCCGGGTTCTCGTGCACGGCCTGGCCCTCGACGACGGTGCCGTCGTCGACCAGCTCGCAGATGGCGCCGGCCTCCTTCTTGCCGGCCAGGCGACAAAAGTCGACGGCGGCCTCGGTGTGGCCCCTCCGCTCGCGCACGCCGCCCTGGCGCGCGCGCAGCGGCAGCACGTGGCCGGGGCGGCGCAGGTCGGCGGGCTTCGCGGCGGGGTCGGCGAGAACCCTGCACGTGAGGGCGCGGTCGTGGGCGGAGATGCCGGTGGTGACGGCCTCGTCGGCGGCGTCGACGGAGACGGCGTAGGCGGTGCCGCGGGGGTCCTCGTTTGAGGTGACCATCTGCGGCAGGTCGAGGCGGTCGAGGATGGCGGGGCTGAGGGGCGCGCAGACGTAGCCCGACGAGTGGCGGATCATGAAGCCCATCTGGGCGGTGGTGAGGGACTCGGCGGCGATGATGAGGTCGGCTTCGTTCTCGCGCGAGGGGTCGTCGAGCACGACGAGGAACTCGCCGTTGCCTGGGGATTTGGGTCAGCGGGGCAGTCATAGACAATGCGGGATGCGCGGGACGGCGTACGGAAGGCCTCAATGGCATCCGGGATGGAGTCAAACTTGGACTCGTCTATTGTCGAGGAGGGCATCGCGGCGTTTGGGTCTGTGGTTGGCGGTGGAAGGGTGAGGTTGGCGGCGTGGAGGAGGGGGACGTTGGAGGGGTAGTTGAAAGCGGCTCCGAGGGAAATTTAGTGGTGTTTTGCGGTTGCGGGCACACGGTTCGGGCAGGGGTCCTCGTTTTCTTCACTGCGCTAGGGATTCCGTCATGCGAGAGGACCCGCGACAACCGGCAGCGGGCAGATAGGGAATCTTGCAGGTGGAATTGACGGTAACCGCCGGCGGGTAAAGCACTTTTACAACGTGTTCTCACGATGCGCCGGTCGCTGGACTTAATAATCTATCGGGCGATGCTGAGCAGAGAGGACACCCCAAGAAGCCCACCCGTCGCCAATCGGTTGACTCATGATGTGCCTGTCATCCATGGTTCCCATGTGCCTGGACCAGGGCGCCGACCACGCCGAGGATTCTCGGCCTGCGCGGGTTGTTTCTTGTTTGCTCGGTCGGCGGTCGGGCTTGCTGGCGTCCAGGGCCCCTGTGGCGCCTTCTTTCAGATGCGAACGGCACCAAACCGATAGCGGGCTCGGTGAATTACGTAAGGATTGCGAACCGTCCGAGGGCCCGCCGATTACACAGGTGATGGCCTGGCTGACAAACCTTGGTGGAAGCACCCGCGCGGCCCCGTTTGATTGTTCATGAGGTGTTCCTGGGGCCGGGAGTGCACATCTAGGATAAGGGTCCGCCGCCGACTTTGCGGTGGAAATCCCGTGCCTGCAGAACGTCTGCCATCTGCAATGCAGTTGACAGGGGTGCACTGACGGTCGGCAACAGCGCCGACGGGAAGCCAGAATTTCAGCGGATCTCCTGCTTTGTCATCACGATTGCAGGATTCATTTCTGCACACCACCGCAACACCAGCAATGGCATCGTCACGCCCAGCAGCCGCCCTGCTGCGCTCGTTGCGGGCGAGGCCTCTCGTCGCGGCCTCCCGCGCGGCTACGACGTCACCTCTCCTCCGAGCCGGGCTGCATCCCCGCCGGTTCAACTCGACCTTCTCCTCCGTCTCTCCCGACGAGGTCGAGCACTTCAACGCCCTCGCCGCCGACTGGTGGGACCCCCACGGCTCCTCGCGGCTGCTGCACCTGATGAACCCGCTCCGACACACCTTCATCCGCGACTGCCTCAACAGCCAGTACGACGCGCCGTCGACGCCGTCCCGGTTCCTCGACGTCGGATGCGGCGGCGGCATCTTCGCTGAGAGCGCCGCCCGGCTGCCCGACACCACCGCCGTGACGGCCATCGACCCGACGCCCGGCGTGCTCGCCATCGCCAAGGCGCACGCGAGGAGGGACCCCGCGCTGAGGGGCAGGCTGGAGTACAAGTCCGCCACGATCGAGACGCTGCCCGTGCCGGCGCAGCTGTAC